ATACAATGTACAAACTTAAGGCGTTCTACCCTAATTTTTATCAGCAAGTTTACTGCTGCCGTTACAACCATGTCTACTAACCCCCCTGTCCTTCCTACAGGTGGCGGGAGACTGGCAGTATGTTGCCATGGTGATAGACCGGATCTGCCTCTGGGTGTTCGCTACCGTCTGCTTCCTGGGAACCCTGGGATTGTTTCTCCAGCCATTCATGGGGTCAGACGAAGAGTAACATGAGACATAGACGCCATGGAAGTTGTGTTATCACGAGACATGGGCGCCATGAGTAACAACTTATATATGATCTGCACCGACAGATAGTAGGCCTTCTCCGATTTGACGTTCGCCCGCTGTTGTGTACGGCCAAGTTCCATACAATCCATCAATGTTGACAAATGTAAACAGATGAACAGGGCAGTTCCTACGTTGGTCAAGCAGCGTGGCAAAAACATGGCCGGAGCCTTTTCTGACGAGGGGATATGGCAGTAGCAAATGACCTGACTTTTCAATCATGGCGTTCGGAGTGGGCAGAAATGCAAGGGCTGACATTACGTACATGTAACTCACTTGTGTACACGTAACATACTTGTGTGCATGTAACACACGTGTGTACACGTAACGTACTTGTGTTCACGTAACACTAGTGGGTATATGTAACACGGTGCGGTTTTTATTTTTAAACCTTAACGCGTGAACATAGACGGTTTTCTTTGGCCAGATCACGTCTGTGTCACCTCATAGTCTTACAAGTGTTTTATTTTTTGGCAGTGAACAAGGAAAAGTGTACACTATAGAATGGTCGTACAGTAGATAGATTTGGACATGTACAATTCTACTTACATCCTATACCTATAAATAATGGGAACAAATGTATGACTAACGGCAGTGTCAGTGCGGTTCATTGACTGTTGATTCCGTCACTTGATCGAAGCAACCAAGCCATGGATGTATCTGAAGTTACTGTCAGGATGAAATTCTTTGTATCATATTATATCCACAATATGGCACCGGTACCAGATACCAGATATAACGTCATTGATTGATTTTTCGAGAGAAGTGTAATTTGGGTTTGGTGAGCAAAACTTTTATTTTCATTTCTCAATTGTTTTTCAATAAACATGCTGGTAAAAGTACACATGTCACATTGTTAGTCAAAGTATGTTGCAAGCATATTCTATACTTCAGTCAGTTTAGATACATTGAAGAAGCGACACAGTCGAATTATATTCCATGATTAGAACAGATCGTGTCGAGGTCGATAGGTGACGCTGCTCAAGATGGCGTACGGACGTACATGCGCACCAAGCAGGTTATAACCTTTCGTTATTCCTGCTGTGCACAACGGTTCTCCCTTTCGGCTGCTGAGGGATTAACATTTGCTTCGACAAATTGTAATGTAATTATACCAAAAGTTTCTCTTCGAGGTTGTGTGAGTGAACAGGAGGCAGACAAATGACACCTTTTGTAGCATCATGGATGTTTGTCTCTCCATTTGTTGCTGGATCGGTAGCAGAAATCAATAATAGACACACGTCTGCTGTGGCCTAGTTACCTGTGCCATCTGTACCTTACCAGTCGTTCTGTGTAACCGATGCTACATGTATATCTGTTTTAGCGCTTATCTGCATTCTCAGCGGGGTTTTGTACATCAGCAGTATATGGTGCATCTGTATTCCACACGTACTTCCTAAAGCCGAGGCAAATGTCGCTGCTGCCGCTGAGTCTCCGTCAGTGCGATGGCGCCGAGAGATAAACAAGGTTACAGGAAAGATCAAGCACGAGGGACGTGCAAGGCTACACAATAGAGCAGCATCAGAATCCTCAGGGGTCTTAGGTGGTACAATCAATACAAACATTCACCAAAGCATAAAATATAAATGGGACGAGATCATGACATATTATCTGGACAACCATCTAAAAGAACACAAACAGTTTTACATTTCCGAACGAGGCCGAACATCTGGTGTTGTTTCCCCGGGCGACTGTTCATAAGCGCATATTTCCCGCTTCATTGAGCGCAGATCGGCCTCCCTGTAATCATGCACCGAACAGCAGTGTCAGCCTGCCGTAAACTGTCCTGAAAACCTCTACTTAAACCTACATAGCAAATCTTAGCAAGACATTAAAACCAGTACAGAAAATATTACCCGTTAAAACGGACATTAAAAAGGGACACAGCAAATCTTACTCAGGCAGTAAACCTATTCCAGGTTGTTTGAGTAACATAAACCTGTAAAGCAGATCTATTCCAGATAGTAAAACTGCCACAGCAAATCTATTCTAGATAGTAGAAACTTCACAGCTAATCTTTCCAGATAATCTGCCTAGCAGATCTAGTCCGGATAGTAAAGCGATTCAGCACATCTAACCCGGACAGCAAATCTTTTCTAGACAGTAAAACCGGCATAGCAAAAAACCTAAACCAGACAATAAAACCGGCACAGCAAACCAAACCCAGACAATAAAACCGGCATGGGAAAACCTAACCTGGACAATAAAACCGGCACAGCAAATCTAACGTTAGCCCGGGTGGTAAAACCGAACAGCAAATCTATTCCAGATAGTAAGACCGGCACAGCAATCCTAACCCAGACAATAAAACCGGCATAGCAAACCTAACCCAGGCAATAAAACCAGCACAGCAAACCTAACCCAGACATTAAAGTCGGCACAGCAAACCTAACCCAGACAGTAAAACCTGAATAGTGAATCGAACCGGGCAGAGTTACGCCCCTTTATGTCCAGCCACGGTAGAGTAACGCCTCTTTATATGAGTCATTGTTGAGTCAGGTTTAGCGCTTGTTGTTTTCATGGTTGTCACAGGGAAGCAGTTCCTGGTTGTGTTGAATGAGGATCTGCTTGATTTAATGGCTAGAGTAAACACTGTGGGTGCACAGAATGGGTCCGGTGGCGTTCCATTAGCTAAGTGCCATTTGTTTGGCGGTCCCTGCTCTACTGATGAGGTTCCGGGGAGGGTACCACAGGGCGCCATGCGAGGCGCACAAAGTCGCTAGCGACACGTGGCAAACTTAAAGGTCACTTTTTTTGCCAGGAAATGACGATCTGATCAGGTTATATGGCGAGTCACGGCCGCCTTGCTGTCAGGCTCAGTTTGCGGGAAGCCGGGGGCTGAAAACGATCCCGTCTGACTCTGACCGCATTAAGAAGTGCTTTAGACTAAATTGAAAAGGCTTCCGTAAATGGACGCCGCACATCTGAACCGCTACGTAATCGATCCCCGGTGATTGTGGGAGGAAAACTGAGCGTCATAATCATCAACATGATGAGGTCAGACGTCCATATTCCTCATTCACGGCGATTCCGGGAAGAACGACAGTTTTCTGCTTCACGGGGCCATAAAATTAGTTTTCCCTGCAGCCCTGCCCGGTCGGTATGACAGGAGGTTCCGCTGATGTCAGGTGATCTATATTCCCTCGTGGACACAGCCCTGCCCAGAGTCAAACTTCACACAGCGGGAGACAGCCGCCAGGTTTGGGGATGGCACGTCGACGTCGCACAACTCACTCCTGAAAGAGAACTTCCTTTCAAAATCCATATCCCGTCCTCCTCAGCGTGACGGGTCGGGCATCGACCGGCAGTCTCTCAAGGGCACCCCGGTAAACCGCGTGACGCAGCTCCGGGGTCTCAGCGGGCGGGTGTCGGAGGGGACAACAGGACGGTAGAACGTGTAGAGGTGAGGAGGACGACTGCACCTGGAGGACATACATCTGTAAGGCACCTGTACAACACCTGAGACCCACTATGGCACAGTGGTTCGTCACCTGTCTGCTTACAGCTGTGTTGGCAGGGAGAGGTAAGGAACGGTTTCTGTGTACAATGTAAATAACACTAACCATGTGTTTATTGATAAATGTTGAGAGAGAGGGGAGCATACCCCGGCAGTATAGGGTACATGCAGGAGGAGGGGAGGGATGTCAGGGTGTCCCTCGACAGTCATTCTCCCCTTACTTTCCCGGTATTAATTAGCCCAATTTGTGTGGGCCTTCATCATTGCACGTAATGTAATTACCTGGAGGAAAAGTGGCCAGGTTCTGGTCTCTGGAGCCGTCTGGCGGCGATCAGACATCCATCATCGTGTGGGCGGGAGCACGGCGCCGCGATGACATGAAATGAGCGGAGTTTACTTTGTTTTATGGGAATTCATGTTCGAGCCATATGAGATAGCGACATGAGCCATAAGTGATCATGATGAGACATGTTTACAGGCCGAAGGAATCTAGTCGTCAACACAGAAGGAATGTCAGGCAGGCCTGTCTACGACCAGGCGTCAACAAATGAAGAGCCTAAAAATTACAACTACACACACCACACCACAGTGCAGTGTGTCTCATCGAGTCCATGGCAAACATGGGACTAAGGTTGGGACCACACAGGAGAAGACCGGTAACATTCTCGAGGGTAAAGGAATTAATTTGATTTCCATCGTTACCATACGGGTACATTTTCCCATTGGCGTGGACGAGTATATATTTCCTGAATTTCTGGTTGACAATAGACCTGCCAATAGTTCAGCCTACTATCCCAGTGATATGACTAGTAATAGGTATATACATGTATGTCATTGTTGTACGTTGCCTCCGACAGTGCATGGTACATATCTTGTAGCTGTTACTGAAATTATTCTTAATGTATACAGAGTCCTGTTCTTCAAACTGTGTCTTTGAGTCCAAGATAGTTCTATTACTTCCTCAACCATACATTTTACTTTTTTATCTATATCAATTCTCACTCAGTACTGTGTCGGTGTTTCGACGACCTATCTGTCATCTTCATCATGCTTTGTTATAGTCATTGAGGTACATTACCTCCAACAGTGTATGATGCATCTTCATGATGTATACTTAGTCCTGTTCTTCAAACACGTGTTCTTTCTTTCCTTTCGGTTGTTATTTCTGGAAACGTTGTTACATCTTGTATGTATCATCTAAAATCCCAGGAAGACAAGTGTTTACGCAGACCACAGATATCAGAAAAAATTATCAAACTGAGGGCAACAAATTTGCTTTCAGGTGGGAAAACCATATCTCGTGAGCGCCCTTTGTCTTGGTTCACGCCACCTTGTAACATAATGTGTGTTTTATTACATCATTCAAAGATTTCAATCGCTAGTAAGTCTCCCGTGACGCCAGTGGAGTTTCCTGGACCAATAGGATTTGATACAAACAGAGTTTGGGGACCAGGATTTGCACATCGTTCGCGATGCGACGCGCGTTTTAGAGGTGAAGCCTAAATCTTCCCAATCCCCCCTCATTACTGCAGGAGTGGAGCGTTTATCCCACTACATCGGCGCAATAAAATACTGCTACTTGTTGTGACTAATCCATCATGTATGGTTTAACCTGCCACCCTGATCGGATATGGTCTGTGGGGCCAAAATTGGGGCATTCCTACTGCCTTTTGATTGATGATGATAATACAGGGTTGACTGTTGCCTGGAAGATGATTTACGAATGCCTTCATAGCTTCATCTTTCTTCATCATGTGGATGTGGGAGGTCCTATATAACAACGGTCACCACGTCCTGACACGGAGCCGCGGGAAGAGGCAAGAACAGTCGGCACGTCCTAGCGCAGAGCCGCGGGCCCAGCTGGCAGATAACCGATATCCGCCGAGCCAAGATGCACTTGTAAGGAAGTCACGGCTGGTAGAACGTAATCCGCCCATCCGTCTCTGTCCATCACAGTCAATACTTCAGGTTAACTTATCCTCCATTGCCGGCCCGATCCTTCATGTGTGGGTTCGTCTCCGCTCGGAGGCACTGCCGCGGTCCTGTACTACATCATCAGGCGCGCCACGCATCGTGTCTAATAGTCATCATCATTCAGAGCCAGCGTTATTTAAAAAAACTTACTGATGGACCAATACCCGCCCTATCAGCATTTTATTTTTATTCTCTTTCGGTTCAGCAAGGTTGAAAAGTTTCTGCGATTTCCTGTCATCATAGATTGGCTGCTTGTCTGTTTGATTAAGGACATTACACATTACAATGTCCTTGGTTTGACTGATTAGCATTCTAGTTATGTTTAACGACTGTTGTAGATGCCCCCTACTAGGCAGACGTCTCTGTAAAGACTATTTTGCGTACATAGCCGCAAAAGGCGTTTTACCAGCTCCATAAGTGTTTCTATGTCTTTGTGGCATTCTAGTACCGTCAGTTCTCAGCCCTATACGGGTGACATTCTAGTATCGTCAGTTCTCATGTCTGTACGGTTGACGTTCTAGTACCGTCAGCTCTCATGTTTATTTGTACTGGTGATATTCTGCGTCGGTCAGTTTGGACATGAGGACTGCCAGTGCTGAACGGTCAGTCCTCATGTCCAAGCTGACTCATTGTCATCGTTATTAGCGTCTCTGATGTCCCATCTTGCAGCCTGATAGAGGTTTGACCCCATCCATTGTACTGCATTGCTACAACATCGATCTGTTGTTCATTATGTCATAAGGATCTTTAAAAACAAACCTGCTATGCTTTATCTCTCATGTTTGAACTGGCTAGAAAAAAACATTGGCGTAAAAACGGACATAGCAAGAACATTCACCTGTTCACCCCCCTCTCTACAACCCAATTTCCCCCTCCACACTCCAGCACCCCTTCCCTCTCCACACTCCAGTTTCCCCTCCACACTCCAGCACCCTCCCCCTCCACCACTCCAGTTCCCCCTCCACAATCCAGCCACCCCTCCCCTCTCCACACCCCAGTTCCCCCTGCCCTGAACGACAGTCAGGGCGCGACAGCTGGGCCGAGCGTTACCAATCGGGGAATAATGACACAAGATTCCCCCAGATATGGATTTTGTATAGCAAGAAAATTGAATTTGCGTGGTTCATTGGAGTTGATGAGCTGCCTAGGTGGCATTCCTGGCGAAGTAGGGTGAACTGTGGGTAATTACGGGGGACTGGGAATGCTTGTGTGATGGATGGGGAAAGTACTCCGAAGTTTAATGTGCGCCCAGCAGTAAATGTCGGTGTCTCCAGGCGTCATATGGCAGCGGTGGTAAATTCCCGCGGATATAATGGCAGCCATGATACTGACAAAGTCGGGGTCCCGCGACTCTCAATACGAGCGTACCCAGGCCGTTCATCGTAGCGTCTATTGCTGTATAACACTCGCAGTAAATTGGGTATAGATTTTACCGGCTACGCCGAAAAAAACACACTTGATTTTGTAACGATTTTTCCACCGTATTGACGGTATTTACGTTGATGATAGTTATCTTATTGTCTGGCTACATCTAGACAGTCACGAATTATAATGAACAGTCTAGAAATATAAATGGCCAAACGCAAACATCAAACATAAATACTTCTATTATTATTTCTAGATATGCATGCCTTCATCGGGCGAATTAAGGGGATTGTTAGTTTTCTCTGTTGTTCGAGTCTCGTGCTCGAAAAGGACCATATCTCCAGATGGCTAGGTATTAAGTACAGACCATTAGACAGAGTTGACCGCCGGTGTGGCCGAGGTACACCATT